TAAATGCTAATGAGCTCTGCTCACCCCGCCCCTCTCTTCCGTGGGTGATGAGCCGTTCTCATGATACTGTTCACTTTAGCCACGGAACTTGCTAACTAGCATGTCATTAGGAAAGGCGATTTGCAAAGATTCATAAAAAAGCCGTACCGAGCCGAGTCGTACCACGCAGTGGAAAAGCGCCATTATACTCTCTTCTGTTGATGAAGCTGGATCACGAATGATTCACGCGAATATAGATGCATTTAGGCAGATCGGCGCATTCACTTCAAAATGAAAGTAACGTTAATCCTCTGCGTCTTCAGCGGCTCAGATGTCTGGAGTAAATGGCGACTGCTATATTTTCATTATTACATCCAACAACAAAACACCTCAATCGCTTAATCTGAGACTTTCTTGTCTTCCCCTGCACCAGAGTCGACACAATGGCAGACTGATGACAGCTCAGTCAGGGCGGGTCTAAGGTAAGACACCAGTCCAGTCTGTCCTGAAATGCTACTGTCAATCAACTATTGTGGGAGGGGCCTGTACAGAACCAGGTCATTCTGACAAGAATCTCAGAACAGCCTGATTTGAGAAAGGGGATTTAAAAAAAAAACACTGGGTGGATTTTTATCATTATAGGGTGGATGTGTACACACACTTCCAACACACATTTATGTTCAAAAATGAATTTTGCATCCGATGACCCCTTTAAGATCATGCAAATGAATACTTTGTATAGTAGTGTGTTTTAGTGCAAACTCTAAAAGTTCTGTTCATCATGAAACTGCTTCACATTCTAATGTCAGATATATGAAGTCTGCAGGCAGGGCAATGTGATTGGGTGGTCAGAGTGATGCAACGTGAGTGTGAAATATCATGATTTCCTCACACCTTCAGTTTCTGCACTGCTCTCTGCCAGCCCTTCAGAAGAACAGACATTAAAATCATATCTGTTTTCATCATCTTTTATTTCCAGTATGTTGTAAAGTAATCTATTATTTTTCCATTAATTAAATTGCTGTATTACCAGTATCATCTCACACCTTTAATATCATGTTTTCATTTCTTCTCTTGAATTATTTCTGGTTCTTGCCTTGCTAAATGAAATATGTAATTGTCTTTTCTTTCCTATTGTGACACATATCTTCGTAAAAAAAAAATGTAGGATGGAATGGTTTTGTTCATCAGGTTCTTCGTTGGTTGGATTTTTGAGTCATTGTCATTTACCAATTTTGCTGTGATCTCACGGTACACACGTCATCAGAGTCACAGAAGAAAAGGGGAAGTTCTTTTGATGTAAAGATTGCAAGGGCACATTTTAAATAATAATGATTGCACGGATAAATCATTTATTTTAAAAAACACTACAATATTCCATGAAAAAATATTTGAATTGCCCATTTTGCTTTCGAATATAAATGCCCTGATCACTTAGTATTGAAAACTGAATGAAAGTATTTATTGTACTACATACAGTATAACTACAACATATTTTCCCAGTGCCTGGATTAGCAAGTTTATTTGTGTTTTATTTGTAAAAACCTTTCAGTTTGTGTTGCGATTGGACCCTGCTGAGACAGAGCAATGAATTCCATTATGCAGGAACGGAAAGGAAGAAAAGGGTGGAGGAAGAGTGGGGGAGAGACAGAAAGAGAGAGAGAGAGAGAGAGGACAGTCTGGCACTGATTAAAATACTTAGGCCAAGGTGCCCCTGGGTGTCTCTGCTGGAGTTTGTGTGTGTGTGTGTGTGTGT